TGACGAAAGCCCCTCAGGCATTATTCTTAGTGATGCCTCGACTTCTCCCAACATAGGACGCGTTCTGAGCGCCTCTCGGGCGTCAGCCATGACCACACTGTGAAGGCCACACCATGTGGGGAGCGTCAGCTCACAGTGATCCTGCACCACCACTGTGAATCTGTAGATACCCTACATATCATCACCTAGGAGAGGAGAAAATCACTGTATACTTGAGAAGTTTCGCTGTCGCTACGTGGAGCGACCTATAATACCAGGTGTGGAACCAGTACTGGTATGATTACCTGGGAAGTATCCCATCTGCTCATCAAGAAAAGTGTAATGAAAATAATAGTTGTTCTTCTGATGAAAGCCAACTCTTTTTGTAATGTAACAGGTGATTCTTCTGAGGCAGGCCAAGTCACTTGTATTTTAACGGAATGTTTTATAAGGAATAAATTAGTTCAGACATGTTATTGTTTCACCCTTCTTTCCCTTATCGATCTGGTCAATGAAAAATACAACCCAATGCCTAGTTCACTCTGCCCGCTACCTAACGAGCTACTGCCCAGAGGGGGTCTGGTGGCAGCAACCCTTAGAAATTAAGAAGAGAGTTAAGTTATCCCCTTAGACTTAGTGATCCCAGAATCTGTCAGTATAACATAATCACTACTATTATGCTTCTTGTATCACATTTGACCTAAATTATGATGTTCATCCACCCATGCTTCATTTTGTTGTTATATGACATACCATGTAAATATTTTGAACACTTTCAGATTTGGATGTTTTATTTTTAATAAACCCTAAATGGGTGTTACCATTAATACACACATAAACCTAGTACATCCCTGAACCAAAGTATGGAATAAATTATTAACAAATATATGAGTTTACATTGCTCGTATCTATACACTGTGTTGAAAAGAAGCTAATATTTTTTTTCAAGAATAAGGGGAATACCCGAGTTCTCTGCTCATTACCAAGTGATGGAGAGAGAAAGAGGTGTCGAGGCACTACTTCTGTCTGGCCTCTAATGTCACCTGTTACCTGACACTGATGAGATCCAACACCTGGTGTACGTCTCACATCGCATAACCTCGTGAACTAAAGATGTTACTTTAAATACACTCTTTTAATACGGCGGGAAGGGGGGTGAAAGAGCAGGAAAGGGTAAGGGTGGACCTTGACAGTAATAAGCTTCCCCATAATGCACTCACCTTAAACCTGGCTTCCATTATTAGAATTTACATACTCGTAATACATAGCTAATTACGCACACTTCAGAGTCTAGAGACAATAATGAGTATAATGTTAGTCAACTGTATGGTATTGTTACAGATAATATACACAAAATACAGTAAAAAGTACAGGTGGTCCATTTTATATTGGTAGTTGTACTAGTGTTAGTGTTGGTGCATACGGTGATGATATATCTGTATGACACCTTGTTGGTAAACCATAGTGGCAGAGTGTCATAGTGGTGATGGTGGTGTGACAGGTGTAGGGAGTCTCACGACCTTGAGAGGGTAGTACAGAGCTATTGTGTTCCCTCAATATACCTCCCAGATCACGCCACGATAACACCATTGACCTCCTCTGCTACTACACAACCTTACATTATATTACTTCAACATTCATCTTCTCCGCCAAATAATACTGCATACTGCAGCTATCATACAGTGTGTGATAGCTGCAGCATACAGTATTATTTACATACACCTTGTTAAGTCATGGCACCCCACCAAGAAGAAAAGACAAACTGATACCGAGATATAGGAATGTGAGACTGAGGAGGAAAGGCTGTGAAAACACGACCAGGGAATGAGGAGAAGGAGGATAATGCCTGAATAAACTTCGCTACAACTGTAAATTATTGACAATATCTATTTAACTACAGGTAAACATGTGAATTATTACTCAATAAACTCTTCACAACATTGTTTTGGTGGATGGATCCATACATGTGAAGTAGGGTCGTGATAATAAGTATTTACTTGTTACTTATTGTGGGCAGCTGGTGTAGTGTGCTCATTTCACATTAAATTGGAGGACATCTATTCAAATAAGAAATGTTTGCCAATAATATTGCTGTTTTAGGGTAGTGAAACTCTATTACGAAAAAACGCCCACCACTATTCGAACAATATTTCATTAATATGGGTCTATAAAAAATATATATTAACACGTTGTATCTAGGTATTCATACATGACTACCTACATATTGTTAGGCTTTCTGCTTATGTTCTGATAAGTTTCGGGAAAATCTCTTCACACACTGGCGCCGTTAGGTGGTTTAAGATGACTTTCAACTTTATCAGAAAAAAATTGAGCTTAATTTTATTCAGGTTGATAGAATATATAAATAACACTCATGGCACTATATAAACAAAGTACATATGGAAGCAATATGGTAACCGGCATTGTACTCCAGCATGTCAAATCCGTCCTAGTATATTCACCCATACCCTTGCGTGTAGCAAATAAAACAAATATGAAGAAACTCCTAGTAATACTAAGTAGAGCATTCAGACCATATACAACATAAGATACCCTGCCATGATCCCCAACGTCAGACTACATCAGAGAGTGAAAATGGAACCAAACACACATCTGCACAAGCAAGCAAAGAAAAATTCGGACAAAATATACAACCAAGATAGAACCAATCAAAGAACGAGTAGAAGAACCAGACCTATACCACCAGCAAGGAACTAGACTGAGTGAACACGCTTGGTTCCCCTACAGCAGAAGGAAAGCCCTGCAACAACCACCAACCGCACTATACTGAGACACACCTACACCGAAAGTTGGGAATGCTGTACAGATGCCGTAGTTACTTCACTCCTGAGCAGTTGCTCCAAGTATATAAGGGATTCATTCGTCCTAACTTGGAGTACTGCTCTCATATCTTATTAACTCCTACTTTAGTCGACAATCTCTCTTCCCTTTCTCTTCGCCGCAATGTTGCTTCACTCTCTCTCTTTATACAGGTACTTTAAAGGGCAATGTTCGGTGGATTTGGCATCCTGTGTACCGCCAGCAAGGCCGTGGGCCCGCGGTGCCCACCGTTTCTCTGTGGATGTCGGGCACACGAGAATAACCCGTTATAGTACCTCCTTTCCTCACACAGCCAAACTGTGGAATGCTCTGCCTTCTTCTGTGTTTCCATACTTATACAATCTGTCTCACTTTAAAGTTAGTTTTCCGGCATCTTCATGGTGTAGATTAACACAGTAGTACCTTTTTCTTCTCTATTTTCAATTTATTTCTGTTCTTTTTTTTTCGCCACTCAGGCCCCGTTGTGGGTCGTTTGACCTGTGCCCGGGTGGGCTAATTCCCGTAAAAAAAAAATAATCAAAAGATGGGAGGACCTACTCAGAACACGAGGACTTGGAACTAGACTCCCCACCACTGAGCAGGATACAAGAACACAAAGATAAATGCACGTGATTAACAAAACAAAACACACAAAAACAGCTGTATGACTTTCATACCAAACATAAGTTGCCAAGGACACTTGAGTTGAGCCCCGGGATCTGTCAATTCTCCCCATATTTACCTTTTCTCTCTTTTTACTTGCACTATCAACCAACCCCAAGTCCCTTCAAACTCCACCACCAACCTCCAAGTCCAATTCCCGTACCACCAGCCTACGCACCAGTGGATCAAAAAATATTCAAACTTTACTCCACCCATCGATACGATTCGATTCGACTCAAGAAACATCACATCCCAAACTCGAGTTGGCCACCCATTCTCAGCTGGTGGAGTGAAGCAGCAACCCGTTAGGACAGGACACGAGTACGGTATCTGCCCGGCTGCCGCACTATATCGTAAAACACTACGTATCCCAGCTTAAACAACATTCATTCCGTCAGTGAGTAAGTCAGAAAGTGTTGTGACGGCACCGAGTGTGAGCTCTTTCAAGACAAGACTTGACCAACGCTGGAGCAGGTTCAGGTACATTCAGGAGCCGGTGAATGCCCAGTACTTGCCAACAGTGCGTAATAGAGACGTGACCGATCGCCCAAGCGGCGAACGAGCCGATCAGTGGTGAAGAGGATAAAAAGAAAAAAGAATATCACTCAAGACACTACAGTTTGGTATGGTATTAAGGGTCGGGAATACGTACAGTATAGCGCGTCTCTAGTAAATTGGAAAGTGTGTTGTCTCTACCTGTGAACACTAGCCGACCACAAAAAAACATATTGTTAATAAACTGTTACGATGTACGGCACAACATATATAGCAATAAAAATTTATAATACAAACAATCACACAAATGAGTAAAATAAAACTGTTATGCAACACAACTAATGAAAACGTGCGCACTACAAATACTGGGAAACCATTATGTAATACAAATAAAGAAAATTGTTACATGACACCTTGGAATAAAGGGTTGGGGGGGGGGGGATGCCAAGACGTAAATCCTTCGACTGTTATACGACACAGATAGAATAAACCTAAAAAATCCTAACCTGACCTAGTGACCTTGTCTATTTTGTGTCACGTTATGTTTAGCTTAATTTTGGTCAGCAAGTGTGGTCAATATTATCGCCTTACACACCACGACCTCCATCACGTCAGCAACAGTATGGGTTAATTCATACCAGCCTGTGTACTACAACATTTACCAGTAAAGAATCACACAATTCCTCTTAGACATACAGTATACTCTATAAAACACCAACCTTTTCGGGTATTTGCGTTTTATCCACGTCCGTCATTATTTTTTTTTACGGGGTATAGCCCACCCGGGCACAGGTCATTGACCCACAACGGAGCCTAGGGGGTGAACAAATGAGTATTAAAAAAGAAATAAAAAAAGACTATATTAATCTACACCACGATGATGCCGGAAAACCAGCTTTTTGAAGTGAGACATTGCATGAGCATAGAAACATAGAAGGCAGAGCATTCCACAGTTTGGTATCCATTATGTGATAAGGGAAGAGGTGAGGAGAGGGGGGGGGAGGAGGTTTTATCTCGGCCGTTGGTAGTCTGGGTATAAAACAGGTGGGTGACAAATGACAACACAGAGGTACGAGGGTAAAAAGATGAAGCTCACTGTCGTAATGCTGCTGGGTGTGGCGGCCCTCACCTCCGCTATCGAGTACCAAAGGTGAGACTTGAAGACATTTACACTTCTTAATATTGCTAACTAACATTAGTGGAAAAGGGGGAAGACCTGAATAACGCAACGTATTACTATCCCCCTTTGACTTTTGGAAACATTAAGTCTAAAACTACAGGATACGACATAAGCACTTGATGACACAGGTACTACCCCTACAAACTGCTTCTTCATTATCCTCTCTACCCTTATTCTGTTACTAGCTATGGAACTCGGCGGGGATAGATCAAGTTAAGTTGTAGGTTAGCTTAGATTTTTATCATGCATTCACCGCTAGAAGCAAAAAACAGTTTCAGGTAGCAATTTAAAAGCCATTTGTTGACATAAGGGACATGAATTAAGAGGTAAGGACATACAGTACTCAGAATCGTTAACATTTTTCTCACGTCATTCTGGGTAATCAAATATAGGGGTTAAGAGACATCATATTATAAGCTCTCAGCGGTTAACGTATAAACTAAACGAACATGTTGACATACAGGTACAAGGTGGTGAGTGTGCGGCCGAGGACTCACGAGGAGGTAATGATAGTGGAGGGCTTGGTGAACAGGTGGGAGCTGGACCAATGGTCGTCCCTCAAGGCTCTGGGCACACCTATGGACATAATGGTGTCGCCGAGGTTGACACAACGCTTCCTTGGCGTTCTCCGTCGGCGGCACATCCCCTTCACTATCAAGATCAATGATGTCCAGGCGTAAGTCCTCCTCGACCTTTGTTTGGTCTTCCCATAATACTACAGAAGTAATATTCTTGCATAATTAAACAAATTATTTGACTCTTATGATTATGCAAACATGACTTCTCTTCATCCAACATATAATGACATAAATATATGTTTTCACTCTTATCGTCTTCCACTTTTATTTATTTTTAATAAGTCTAAACCACTTAGCCTCTTTCATAAGACTCAGATCCTCACCGCAATGATCCCTCAGGCTCATCAACACGGAGTCTGCCCAGTACAAGACGAGTCAGTCGATGCCACACAAGTTTGATCACGCTGACTACCACAGAACTGATGAAGTTAGTAATGAATCTGACGCCTTCCTGGTGTGACCCAAGATGCAACAGGCCTTACACACTGTCGCTCATAACAATAACAATTACTATTCATGGTCACAATTACTGTACACTGTGTCGCATCAATCATATCATTGTTAAGAACATAAGAACATAAGAATGGAGGAAACTGCAGCGGGCCTATTGACCCGTACTGGGCAGTCCCGTTTATACCCAACCCCTGTTGCTCATATAAGCATCCAACCTATGTTTGAAGCTATCCAGCGTATTCGAGTTAATGATGATAATTGGTAACTTGTTCCATTCATCCACTACTCTGTTTCCAAACCAGTGTTTACCTATTTCACGCCGAAATCTAAATTTGTCTAATTTAAAACCATTGTTACGAGTTCGCTCCTGGTTGGATAGTTTGAGTACCTTTGTAATGTCCCCTTTGTTTAAGCCTGACTTTCATATATACACCTCTATCATGTCGCCCCTCACTCTACGTCTCTCGAGGGAGTGCAAATTAATATGCTTTAACCTGTCTCTGTACTCAAGGTTCTTGATGCCCGGGATTAGTCTTGTCATTCTCCTCTGGATTCTTTCCAAGGATTCTATATCCATTCTGTAATACGGTGACCAGAACTGAACTGCGTAATCCAGGTGAGGTCTCACAAGCTCAAGATATAATTTTAAGATGACCTCGCTAGTCTTGTAACTAACACTCCTTTGTATGAACCCAAGTACTTTATTAGCCTTGTTACGAGCAAAAACACATTGCTGACTTGGCTTAAGATTCCTACTTATCATTACTCCTAAATCTCTCTCGCAGTCGGATTCCACAATGGCATCGTTGTTCATCTGTTAACTGGTTTCTCTGTTTACATCTCCTATACTGAGTACTTTACATTTGTCCACATTGAATTTCATCTGCCGTTTTTCCGACCATTCGAAAAATTTGTTTACATCTTCCTGTAGTTTTGCAGAGTCCTCGTCAGATTTAATTACACGTCCTATTTTAGTGTCATCAGCAAATTTACTTATGTTGCTGTCTATGCCGATATCTATGTCGTTTATGTATATAATAAATAATAATGGTCCAATACTGAACTTTGGGGAACTCCACTAGTGACGTTGCTCCAATGCGATTTAGTGCCGTTTATGCTCACTCGATGTTTGATGTTTCCTGTCCAGTAACCACGCCCTAAACCATTTAAGGATATTACCTTTGATGCCATGCGCTTCTACCTTTCTAATTAGTCTTTCGTGGGGGGACTCTGTCGAAGGCTTTGCTAAAGTCGAGATATACCACATCATAATTGTGCCCCTCGTCCACCGATTCGAAAACTGATGAAAAGAATGTTAATAGATTAGTTAGACACGAACGCCCGCTTGTGAAGCCATGCTGGGAATCATTGATCAACTTGTGCTTGGCCATCAAAGGAATTTATCATCAAATAGTCATGACTAACAAAGCTCTATCTTACTAATATTTCCGACATAAACATCAGCGGCATTTCCCTGTGTTAACAGATCTACTCCATCCTGAAAGGCGCGGAAACAGACTTCCCTGACCTAGTAACAATCTACACGGCTGCCACCACCTACGAGGGCAGAGACATCCGCGTTGCCAAGGTATAACACCACACACCAGGCCCTATAGCCACAAGCTGCATTCACGACATAGTGAACTCTCGTCATCAGTAATATTTCTAATATGAGGTGCAGTATAAAGAGACGGCTTCATAAAGATTATTTACTGACAGGTTTCCACTGGAGGTTCCAAACCTGTAATCTGGATCGACTGTGGGATCCACGCCCGCGAGTGGATCGCTCACGCCACCTGTCAGTACATATTAGACCAACTGACCTCTGGAAGCAACAGCGACAGTGAGGTCTCTGCCCTCCTGGACTCCTACGACTTCCACATCATGCCCGTCGTCAACCCTGACGGCTACGAGTACACCTGGACTTCTGTGAGTTACTGTGTTTCTAGCGAGTGATAATAAAGGTTGGGTTAGGGAGGATTTATGTGCTCTCCTGTTTATGTAATAGTGTAGGTGAAGAGTTAGCAACTTCTTGTTAGACGTGTTTTCTGTATACATAAAAACTCGTCCACTGAACAAGAAAAAATAAGATATTAGAATTCATAATTCACTCATTTGAAATCAATGTTCTTCCTTTAATAACGAGGAAGTTTTGCTAAGTATTTAACGAAACACTCAACATACTGAGAATGTGGTAACATTATTTAATTTATCTCAGGATCGTCTTTGGCGCAAGAACCGCGTCCCCAACACTATCTGTCATGGCGTCGACTGCAACCGTAACTTCGATTCAGACTTCGGAGGTATCGGGACTTCCGACAATCCCTGTTCCGACCTTTACCACGGTAAGTAAAACACATGACAAAATGTGTTAAATTATACCGATAGAATCAATACAAACCATTTATTGGAGAAAAATATTATTTTGTTGATGACTTTTCAGGAAAGTCTGCGTTCTCTGAGAAGGAAAGTCAGGTTGTGAGGGATTCCATTAAAGATCTGGGCGTAAAAATGTTCGTCACGATCCACTCCTACTCCCAGTTATGGATGACCCCCTACGGCTACACGAATGACAAGCCCGCTAACTACGACGAACAAGTAAGAACATTATGTGAATCGTGAGTTGCTTTTGAGGGGGGTGAACTGGGGCTTCATTTTTATCTGCACCTGCTCCAGTGTTGATCGAGTTTGGTCTTGATTGAGCTCACACTCAGTGAAGGTACAATAGAGTTTACTCTGTCAGGTTGTTCCTAGAGTTCTCAACCCCAGAAAAGTTTACCCTGCCTTGATTTTACAGCATGTAACCATTAAGGTTTAGGAGGGAGATAGGAAGGAACTGGTTCACAAATAGGGTGATGGACGAGTGGAACAAGCTTAGCAATTTTGTAGTTAGTGCGGGAACGCTGGAAAGTTTTAAAAGGAGGCTAGATAGATTAATGGATGATAGAGAGTGGTAGTAACTCTCGACAGGAGCTGCCATGCACAGGCCAACCAGCCTATTGCAGACTCCTTATTTTCTTATGTTCTTATGTTCTTATGAAAGTATAAAGTGACTATGAGGTTTATTCTTATCTAAGACTTTGGAAGAGATAATTAAAGTAAAAGGCAAGATTTCTAATTCACAGCTTGTCAATTGGCATCTGTAAAGGATTAACTTGTAACTGCAAAATTGAAAACGTTTTATTAAAAGTTTCCATATTTAACCAGCAAGTTTATTACTGTTATTATAATAATGTGTATGTGACCCTGACAGTACCGCGTGGCTGGGGAGGCAGTGGTAGCGCTGGAGGCAGTTCACGGCACCAGGTACCAGTACGGCAACATCGCTGACGTTATTTGTAAGTTGACAGTCTGACTTGTTACCTCCACCTCCTCCTTGACAAGGATGACAAGTTGCCTTATTAATATACTTTATCTGGTCAGAAGTAGAACAGAATCACTCGCCAGTTTAAATTACAACCTCAAGTCTGACGCAACAGTTTTTGACAACACACACGATATAGCCAGCCACCTACAGTACCTAGTTTCAAACTTTTGTATTTCACTTGCATTTTCTCCTGCCACATGTATGCTCAAAGTACTCATTTCAGTATTACATTGTTCACTATGTAAGGAAGATGAATGATATGAGCTACGGGGAAGATGCTCAGAATGTGAGCGTCAGGTCAGTGTATAAGTAATTCCTGAAAATATTTTTAAAACGTTATATAAGGTTTGTTAAAAATTTACGTCGACTAATACATTGCATGTGTCGGTGTGTGTCAGACATGGCGGCGGGAGGCAGCATCGACTGGGCCTACGACAGCGCTGGTGTGGAGTACGCTTTTGGCCTGGAGTTGCGTGACACAGGCTCCTATGGCTTCCTCTTGCCAAAAGAACAGATCATTCCAACAGGCGAGGAGACCTGGGCCGGTATTAAGGCTGCCGTTCAAGCAATATAAACAGTAGACACCAACCTGCTGCTGCATCAGACAGTTGAGTGTATCCAGCAGTACCCACCACCACTACCAAATATTACTCAGGCGATAACACCATTCATCTATGACGCCATCTCCCGTAAGCATCGTCCACATCTAACAATAAATTATATATATATATATATATATATATATATATATATATATATATATATATATATATATATATATATATATATATCAGCAGGGAACTGCCTCTGAAGATGTCTTGAATAAAGATGAAAGCTAAGATGCTCCATTGTTTCCCTTTTCCGGGTTTTCCCTGTGTGATTTTATCAAGATTTATCTTATCTTCGTTTTCATTGTGGATCTACATGAAATATATACATATGTATATATATATATATATCTTGATAAAATCACACGGGAGAATGGAAACAACGGAGTACCTTAGCTTTCGTCTTTATTCAAGACATCTTCAGATGTCTTGAATAAAGACGAAAGCTAAGGTACTCCGTTGTTTCCATTCTCCCGTGTGATTTTATCAAGATTTATCTTATCCACGTTTTCATTGTGGATTTACATGAAATATATATATATATATATATATATATATATATATATATATATATATATATATATATATATATATATATATATATATATATATATACATACACACACAAGTAAATCACTGTAGGTGCGCGTGATCCAGGTATATGCTGATAACCACAAGGAAACAAGAAAACACGAAGTTCCCAAGTGCTTTCGTGTAATTCACATCTTCAGGGGTGAGTACAGACTAAGGAAATACTTGACAAGGCTAATATATACATTAGAGGAGAGTGAGATCAAGTCCCTAGGGGACAGCAGGAGTCCACAATGTTCCGGTCATGGTATATACAAACTGGATAATTTTGTGATTAAGAAGATTTGTAACCAGGTGAGAAGGTTGGGTCACCTTACCCTATGACCTGACTGAGGACAGCTGCTGTGCTTAGAGATGGCATGGTCAATTTCTCAAGTATTTCTCCTTAGTCTTGACTAGTTATTTCTTTTGTACTGCTAACGAATTCTATGCAGTCTTATATAGCCACAAAACATATTGCTAAAGTAGGGCAAAATTTCCGATCAAAAACTCATTATCATTAAGGGTTGACGAGCAGAAAAGTAGAATAAAAAAAAAGCTAAGAACTAAGGTCTGACGACTCATTTAGTAAACAATAAATACCAATGATGAGAAACAAAAATTTATTTTCCAATCTTAACTAAAGGTATCAACTCAACTTAACTTAACTTAACTTCTGTAAAAATCTTGAAAGGGATGGAAAACGTGAAACACACCACCAACACGAATAAATACAAGGTCACAAAGTTATTCTGCAGAACGAATGATAGTAGGTCTGATAAGAAGGTCGTTCAGATATCTAGTCGGTCCGTCCCTCGCAACGGTCTTCAAGAGTGTGGTGCTTCCCCGTCTGGTCCCATGAATATGCTAGAGACTGTTAGTTGAGCAATAATGTCCAAAGGAGTGCCACCAGACTGGTGACTGCACCTCAGCTACCCAGAGAGATTAGAACGCCTGCATCTGCCTCCAAGGGGAGACCTAATTGAAGTTTATAAACATCTTTTTCTTTTTCTTTTATCCTCTTCACCACTGATCGGCTTGTTACCCGCTTGGGCGATAGGTCACGTCTCTGATTACTTTTCCTTTTCATTTATCCTCTTCACCAAAAGATCGGCTCGCTAGCCGCCCGGGCGATCGGTCACGTCTCTGCCACGCACTGTTGACAAGCACTGGGCATGCACCGGCTCCTGAATGTACCTGAACCCGCTCCAGTGTTGGTCAAGTCTTGGCTTGAAAGAGTTCACACTCGGTGCCGTCACAACACTCTCTGGTAGATTGTTCCAAGAGTTTACAACCCTCACTCCGAAAAAGTTTGCCCTCACAGTTTTCTGGACTTGCGGCTTCTTCAATCTTGAGCTGTGACCTCTTGTGGGGCGAGCGTCCGCCAGCTCCAAGTAAGGACACTCGACTGAGTAGTGCCCCCTGAGATGCTTATACACCTCAACTAGGTCACCCCTTGCCCGTCTGTAGTATAAGCTAGGCAAGTTCAGGCGCTCCAATCTCTCAGGGTAGCTGAAGTGCCGAAGTGCAGGCACCAGTCTGGTGGCCCTCCTTTGAACATTTTCAACCAACTGACAGTCCCCAGCATATCTAGGGGACCAGACGGGGTGACAGTACTCCAGAAAATCGTTACGAGGGACGGACCGCCTAGATATCTGAACGACCTTCTTATAAGACCCAATAATTTATTTGCCTGGTTTACCTTCTTCTCGCAATGGCCCGAGAATTTCAGCTCATTGTCAACATACACACCTAGGTCCTTCTCACATTCAGTCTCAACTAGTGCAGTTTCTTCATCCCGTTGGGACATATGATACGCCTCCTTCCCGTTGGTACGCCCCAGGTGCATCCTCTTACACTTCGTGACATTGAATCTCAGCAGGCATTTCTTCGACCATTCCTGGAACCCACAGAGGTCCTTCTGCAGTTCTTCACAGTCCGCTTGGTTCTTAATTTCCCGAAATAACTTGGCGTCATCGGCAAACATTTGCATGGAGGAGTGTACAACGTCAGGCATGTCATTTATGAAACAAACAAACAACAGCGGGCCCAATACACTGCCCTGTGGTACCCCACTTGTGACAGGTACGGATGACGATTTCGTGCCAATAATCACCACACAGGGCGCTACTCAGTCGATTGTCCATACCTGAAGCTGGCGGACGCTCACCCCACTGGAGGTCACAGCTCAAGGTTGAAGAAGCCACATGTCCAGAAAACTGTGAGGGAAAATTTGTTTGGAGTGAGAATTTTAAACTATTGGAACAATCTGCCAGAGTGTGTTGTGATTGCACCAGATGTGAGCTCTTTCAAGACCAAACTTGACCAACACTGGGGTAGGTAAAGAAACGTTCAGGAGTCAGTGCTTGCCCAGTGTTTGCCAATATTGCGTAACAAAGACGTGATCGACCGCCCAAGCGGCTAACGAGCTTTTAAGTGGCAAAGAGGATAAAAATAAAGTAAAAGAATAAGGAAATACCTTTTCTCGCAGAGGGTAGTAGACCTATGGGACAGTCTACCAGCCCAATCTGCGGAGTCAAGAACAATACTGGGCTTCAAAATAGTCCGCGACAAAATTATCAAGAACAATGGAGGGATCCTACACAGGTCACTGGCCTCCTTCCCTTGGCATGGTGACCTCCAGTGGGTAGCCATTAGGTAAATAAGGTAAAATATTAAAAGAGCAATCATTGCTTAATATTTCTAACGACCTTTAAGTTATGCGGAAAACAAAAACAGAGATGTTTACAACATCACTAGAATAATGAATATAAATAAAAACATTAAAGAAACAACATTTATGATGCATAATACTTTGTTCACAAAAGTCGAAACAACCCGTCAATATTTACAGGGAGCTCCAGAGATTTAAAAATACGCGTAAAGGATGATAGATGACAATAAACTGGCTGCTCTTATCTATACCATCGCATCTTTATCTAGTTATTATTAGGTGTCAACATGTTGGCATACAGGTACAAGGTGGTGCGCGTGCGGCCGAGGACTCAAAGGAGGTTAATGATAGTCGAGGGCTTGGTGAACAGGTGGGAGCTGGACCAGTGGTCGTCCCCCAAGACTGGGCATACCTGTGGACATGGTCTCGCCAATGTTGACACAACGCTTCCTCGGCGTTCTCTGCAGGTGACACATCCCCTTCACTATCAAGATCAACCATGCCCCCCAAAAGGGCGTAAAGTAAGATAAATAAATACTTCATTTATCCATAATATATGTAAGTTTTCTTTGTTTCTCAGCTTGCTCCGTTTTCTGTTGAAAAGTTTCACTGAATTTGAGTGAAATATATTTAGTAAAATAATCGTAATAATAATACTTACCCAGTAAAATTTTTCATCCAGGTTTACAATTGGATAGGCATGTACAGTGCATAAACTATGCAGTTATACAGTGCAGCATAAATATAGACATCGCAGGTATACGGTGCACCCAGGTCGTGGAATATATTATACAGTAGTTTGCCATGTTCCTAAACAATGCGGTATACAACAATGGTAAATAATAAGGTAATTTGACCAAAGACCGCAGAGATTATGCAAATTCTATTAAAAATAACATACAGCAAAATAGTGAACACATTAAGCAACAGGGATACAAGTTACATACTTCGTCAACATAAGTTGCCACATAATAGATTCAACGGATAATATAATTAGTACACACTCTAAGGTACAGTACTGTATACTGTTGGAGAAGGTTCAAATAAAAAAAATACGAATTTTAATTCACATAAACATCGTGTTGTTACCCGCCCACCTTAATCACCAACCAACGACGACGGACCGATCAGTGCATGGCGAAGAGGATAGTGAAGTAAAGTAAAGGCACCGAGTGTTAATTCATTCAAGACCAGACTTGACCAACAGTGGCAGGTTCAAATGCATTCTGGAGCCTGTTTATGCCCTGCAGCCTACTTATCAACAGTGCGTACCAAAGGAGCAACCGACAACCCAAGCGACTCACTGGCCGATCTGTAGCGAAGAGGATAGTGTGAGATTAACAAGAGTATTTACCTGCAAACTATAGCCCTGGGCATGGCTACCAAGAACAATAGGGAGACTATACAAAGCCCACGGGCCTACTTTCCCTGTCATGGACACATATAGTTGTCTCTTGTTTTTGATTACTGTGACGGTTTTTCGCTGATTTAATTTAGCCTTTGGGGCTTAGTAGAGGATAATCCGGCATTAGTTATTGTGTATTAGTCAAATCACAATCCTAGGTGTGTGGAGTAATCTGCACGAATCGATACACAGCAAGACAAGAAATATCCGCATGGAAATCGTGTGTAAGAGGGTTTTGTTTATAATTATTCGTTAGCACATACATTTCGACAAAGTAACACACACACATATATATATATATATATATATACATATATATATATACATATATATATATATATATATATATATATATATATATATATATATATATATATATATATATATATATATATATATATATATATATATATATATATATATGTGTGTGTGTGTGTGTGTGTGCGTGTGTGCGACATGCCTAAAACGTACAGGGAATATTAGCATACAAACATACATATGTGGAACGGAAAATTTCTTCAGTAATTTTTATCCTTCGCCGTATTATTGCTTCATTATGACGTCATAATATTTTTCCGTTCGTCAACAAAATAATAAGGTGGTGCTTATATTAATCATGTGATATGCGTGTGTGTGTGTGTGTGTGTGTGAGTCAGTCTACCAACATAACAAGTTGTAGTAAGTACACGAAAACTTGGTGCGGTGGGGCGAGGAGGGACGGTTAGATTTTTTTCTTTACAGGGATTAGCCCACCAGGGCACAGGTCACTGACCCACATCGGGGCCTGGGGGGCGAAAATGTAATAATAATAATAATAATAATAATAATAATAATAATAATAATAATAATAATAATAATAATAATAATAATAATAATAATAATAATAATAATAATAATATTAATAATAAAAATAATAATAATAATAATAATAATAATAAAACAACAACAATAATAATAATTCATAGTAAATAAAATTTATAATAAAAATACACAATTAAAAATAACATAATAAAATAATAATGATAACAGTAGTAATAATAATAAGAACAATAATGTTTCAAGCTTCACGTGAAGATTAGTACCAGGGATGGGCTGGTTTTAATTAGGGTTAGTTTGGTTAGCGTTAGAGGAGGTTAGTGTAACGTTAGTCACTGTTTGGTTAGGTGAGGGTTAGTGTTAGTGTTCGGCACTTTAAGAAATATCCTGTAGATTTTACAATAATATACTGGCAGCCAAGATACTAGTAATTTAAAAAAAAATCACAGTTATTTCAGGACTTGCTGTAAATTGTCTGGCCGTAAGATACTGTAAAATGTAAACTACCTCGCTGTATTTTTTACGGTAAATAAATTGCATATTGTGATTCAACACCAATTAGAAAAATAGTATTATACAAACTCAGTTTACAGGAAGTGGTGCATTATCTGTACAATAAGCTCTCGTGAAATATCACAGTGAATTGCCGTAAAATATAGCAATTCAGGGCAGGATGCAAATGCATTACACGAGGATCTAAATAAACTGCAGGGGTGGTCTGAAAAATGGCAAATGAAATTCAATACCAGCAAGTGCAGCGTACTTAATATTGGAAGAACAAATACTTATAATGTATACAGCCTTAACAACATCAACCTAGAGAAGTCGACTTGTGAAAAAGACCTAGGGGTACTTGTCAGCCCGGACCTACGGCCTAGAAAACAGTGCGTTAATGTTCGAAATAAGGCAAACAGAGTATTGGGTTTTATATCTAGAAGTGTAAGTAACAAGAGTGCAGAGGTCTTATTGCAACTATATCTTGCGCTAGTCAGGCCGCACCTCGATTATGCGGTTCAGTTCTGGTGCCCCTATTATAGAATGGATATAAATTCACTAGAGTCGGTGCAGCGAAGAATGACAAAAATGATTCCGGGACTTAGAAACCTTCCATATCAGGATAGGTTAAAAAACTTAACTTGCATTCCCTAGAAAGACGAAGAGTGCGGGGAGATATGATAGAAGTATTTAAGTGGGTGAAAGGAATCAATAAAGGGATATAGATAAAGTTCTTATAATATCCGAGCAGGATAGGACTCGGAGCAACGGATTCAAGTTGGATAAGTTTAGGTTTAGGAGGGAGATAGGAAGAAACTGGTTCACAAATAGGGTGGTGGACGAGTGGAACAAGCTTAGCAACTTTGTAGTAAGTGCGGGAACTCTGGAAAGTTTCAAAAGGAGGCTAGATAGATACATGGATGATAGAGAGTGGTAGTAACTCTCGACAGGAGCTGCCATGCACAGGCCAACCGGCCTATTGCAGACTCCTTATTTTCTTATGTTCTTATGTAATTCTTTAGGTTATGAGATTCTGAGACTTCGTTACTAGGTCAGTACAAAAATACAGGATTAATTTGTATCATATTTCTGTGTTACTTAATCTTGGACACGGTGATAACAGTGACGGTGATTATAAGCACATTAATACGATCATCCTTTCTAAAACTCTATAACACTAAATACACAGAACCTGCTATTGAAATATAGACAATGTAATTATGGTATCGCACATTTCTCCAAATATGATATATTACACAAGACAATAATATACAGGCCACCCCTTTCCCATAATACTTAACTGCCACAAGCTTTTAAAGCATCTTCCCTCACTCCTTCCTTCTCACGTCAGAGAACCCAGAAATACAGGTGACGTCAAGAGAGAATGATCTTCAAGGTAAGCAAGTACGGAGTATGAGAGAGAGCCTAGATTACTCAAATTCTCAAAGTTCTGTTTTTATTGGTCAAAATCTGAGAAATTGTAGCTTAGGGTGGGTTTGTTTACCTCATATTGGGATTAAGATTCTATCAAGATCCCAATATGTGAACAATCCCAGAGGTGAAATTTCTATATTCTATATTTAAGTGTGCCCAGATTCACAAGAGATCGTGATATTCCTAGTAACTGAAATGTAAGAATGCCTCTAAACGGATGACTTAAGATAAAGCACAAAAATAACGTTCAAAACATCATCTAAACACAACATTAGAATAATATTAAACTGAGAGTCTTAGTACGTTCCCTTAACACCAGAAGGTTAAGGTCGAGGATATCTTGGAAAAAAGATTCTCGTTATTTTTTCTTTTTACCTTTGGATGGTTGTAAGTGCATGTAAATTGATTATTTTTATGGTACTTTTGGATATTGTGTTTGTGTTTCAGCTTAAGTAAACCAGTCAGTTGTTTCTCTATGTACGAGAAATATTCATTGTGCAGCCCTTTGTAATTCTGAGCCCTGAGCACAGCAATAAGGGGTAATGCTGTGTTCGTTTCTACTGACAGGCATACGTGGTAATGCTAGTTTCGCTATGGGATTGATGATCACGTTTTGCAGACAAGGTGTGGCCCCCGAAATAAACCATTTAAGAAAATCCAAATAATAGAATCTCCTCGAGGAATTTGGTGATAAAGCTAAGCTACCATACAAAATTTAGAGTAATGTACTGAAGCCACAAGATAGCCAGGTAGAGACAGTTTTTCAAGTGGCCAGTTACTTCACACGAGGAGTCAGTATTAGTATCATCGTGTGTTAACCAACGAGAGAGTATTTTTTTTATTTGTGGGCTTGCTCATCCCTTCCTATTATCTGCGGCCACAGCCTCCGCCCTCTGACCAACCCACAGACCCGAATTCCCTCACACTAACCATCTCCCCTTACCTAACCCACACTATCCTCAACCCTCATCTTGACCTTCAAATTCCCCTTTTAACTTCCATTGAATAACTTTTATATAATTCCGCCTAAAATACATAAATACAATAAACACACACTTAGTTTCATCGCCAAACAACATACAAAAGAGGGGATCAAGGCCGAATTGAGGGCAAGAACGGCCTTCGCGACCTTATAAAAACAGAGGGAGGAGCTAAAATATGTTAGTGTCTTCCCACTGACTGGACGACTCGCAGACGAAGGTGCAACGTCTCAGCTACTCTGGAACTAGTCTGCTAAATCCACTTATCTTCAACATGAGAGATAACACTTTTAAGATTTAAACCTTTTCATAGAATTGTTTCAAAAATTGTTAATTTCACACACAAAAAGCAAAGAGAATCAGCTCAGTTAATCGCTAAACCAAAACAATTTTATTATCCGCAAGATCCTGTTTACGAACTTCTTATCTGTTTACGAAGTGTGATTTTTTTTATCAGTCTCCACCAGTGTTACTGCAGTTCATCAAGGTCCATGTAAGGTAAGTTAACTAATATTTTTCAAGTCCAAGTTATCAGCAGTACACTCTAGCTTTCAAACTAGTCCCACCACCCATACATATAAAAATGACAAGTTAAAGTGGTGAGTGTTGGATCAATCACCCGAATTAAAAATGTTTATTATTCTATTTTCGTCAGGTTGGAAGCATTAAAGGTAACCTCTGCCATGACGATTATTTTTATTACTCCTTTAAGTAGTAACTGGTATGTGAGGCAAGCATACAAATTCCAGTGTTTGTAGCTAGTAATTGTTAGTTACTAAACTGTTTTCTTACCGTGAGAGAGAGAGATAATCGCACGAGTGAACAAGAAATAATATCGTTTTTATTTACAGTATTGTGTAAATAAAGACTGAGGTTATTTCGTTCATTATTACGGATATATTTTGGATGCTATTACTTTAATCTGTTAGCATATTTCCCTACAATATTACACTCATTTCCTTCTGAATATCTCATTATCTGATCCATTTTACAAGTTATGTAAAAAATATTAAAGACATATCGAAGTATGCTACGACAAGATAAAACTTATGAATTATACCTGTACGTCAAGTGATGTATATCAGATAATTTATTGACACCTTGGGTTATGGTACTACACCCGCTACATACAGATTGATTTGAGACTCAATGCCGGCCGGTCTTGACATTACATAAGTTGTTTTTCCCGCGCGAGGAAGTTTATTTATTTTTATTTTGTTTTTGTAAGTGCGGCTGGAGGATGGGTTCATGTGAGTAAGAACCACGTGGTAGACTCGTGAATGTGCTCTCTGAGTGGCCCAGCAATTGTCCGGTTGTAAACAAGCCTTAATAAAGGATTTTTCATTACACACATGACTCATACCTTCAAGGTTAAATCGCAATCATTCCCACTGAGAGCTTCTCACACCACTCGCCTGTAGACACACACGCATTCAGTCACCCGACGATCACACACCCGGCCCTCACAATAATTGTTCGCTTGAGATGACCTGTTCGTGCTTGCATCTTCCGTCTCTAGACACAACAATTACGTATACCATATGCAAAGCAAGTCCGTCATGTGCTGCGAGTAATGCAAACATTTTGAGACACGAACAAATACACACACACACACACACACACACACAATAAACATATACTCACACCATACCCATACATGTAAACACCACATAACCTGTCGCTACTGCACACAAAGATGCACCAGACTAAAAAAAAAAAGGAGTCTGCAACGAACCCTAAAGGAAGAGGCGTTCCCACTTAACGTCGTGGGAAGGTTCGGTGTTCGTCACGGCCTTGGGGGCTGAATGCAATACTTATAAGATATCCACGTTTTCGTTTTTCTTTATTTTTTAACCTTTTTTCTTTTTGAATGATGTCGTGTTTAAATAGCCTTTAAAATATTTTCTGATAAGATAAAATAATGATTCCTTTTCACTGTATTATTTACAAGTGAGAAATAGACAAATACACGTAAGAAAATATGAATCTCGTTTTGCGTGTTTTTACACGTGTTTTCGTTTTCCCGTTTTCTTTCGTTTCTACATTATAAAATTCAACCTACTGTTAGTCCGTATTATCTTCATCTTCATTCCTTGAACCACACTTACAGTATAAAGTTCTATAAATCATACGAGATTGTAATTGAACGAACATATATGAATTAATCGTAATTAAAAGACCAAATCATTAAACCATCTGAGTGCAAAACGAAGAAAGTGTAAGATTATATAATAAAAAACCTAACATGCCTTCATACGCCTGACAACACACACATACACACGACATTTCCTGTTCAGTAATTGATCCTGTTATGTTAAAAATGAGCAGATTCTATTGTAATAAATGATTCTGAGGCATTTTTAGAACACGTTTACATAAACTCTTATTTATTGTGCTGAGTATGTGGATAAAACTCACCTTCCACCCCCACACACTCTCAAAGTTCCCTCCTTCTCTCCCTAACCATACTCCTAAACCTTCCCTTTGGGAGAGTAAAAATGACTTCTGTAACAGTAACTACAACAACTGCATCCAACACAATGTTTCCTAGTGAGCTTGGAGGCGGGTTGACGCTATCCACCCTCGACTCCTTTCTTTGTTCTCACGGCACTAAAAATGTTTCCTGTCGCTATCACTTTCTGCTATCATCTCATTACTAAACCATAAGATAAGTCACCCCGTATCCTGTCAGCATATTAGATAATGATTATTTTTTCAACAAAACACCTGATAAATTGCTAGATGTAATTATTACCATCTCCACACAAAGCACACCATTTTTATAGCCATGGCTGATAACGCTTGCACCCTGCGTTTAATTAGTCAGTGAAGGCATAAAATACTAAATCATGCATTAAAAAAAACCGCTTCTGATCACGTGCAAAATGTGTTAATCTTGGTGGGCAGCAAGCGATAATTGCTATCAGGTGCTGATTTCATGTTAATTATAGTATCGAGCACAAGATACTACAAAATAGATAATATACTAAATAGTGTGTGTGTGTGTGTGTGTGTGTGTGTGTGAGTGAGAGGGGGGACAGTAACTCGTGGCTCGTGAAGTACTGTTGACTGTGCGCGGATTGATGCGCCAATGCAGTTTTGTAATATTAGTTTTTGTATCATTTTAGTGGTGTATTAGTATACTGTGGTAGTGTTGTAAGTGTACTGTGGTAGTGTTGTAAGTGTACTGTGGCAGTGTTGTAAGTGTACTGGGGTAGTGTTCTTATATGACATTCTTTTTAAGAAATCTAACATAACTATCAACGATTACAGTGACCAGGATGGGCTGCACCACCCTGTTTCTCTTTACTACCCTCGTCGTCGCCATCGTCGCCGTCAACAACACACAACAGGTCCACCAGGATATTGAACGCCCAGTCTTGGCGTTCCAGGTGCAGGAACTGCAATCCCCACGTTTCCGCCTCGACTACCACCTCCTTCACTTGATCCAGTCCTTGCTGGCTGAACGGGATTCTCAATTCTCACAAGAGGACCAGGGTCGTCCGTTCTCACAAGAGGACCAGGGTCGTCCGTTCTCACAAGAGGACCAGCGACCTTTGCCCTCTCAAGAAGACCAGCGCCATCTGTTTTCAAGCGATGAGCAACATTTTCAGCCCTCATATGATGACCAGCAGTTTATTCAAATTTCGCAAGACGACCACCATGATCACATGCACTCATTTGGACAGCACAGCCTCAATAAAGAGCTCTCACCTCCATCATCACCAACACGAGCAAACAACTACTTCACCCAGGTGTCTACCATAAGACGCTATAACCTCAGCCAGGTACGTCCTCGTGTGATGTCAGAGGATTTATTTATTGTTGTATTTGATATGGATGCTTCACCTGTCAGGGTCGCTTCACGGGGTCAGAGCAGGCACGATATTATGTTTGAGTGTGCGTGTGTGTACAGGATACGATAATACCGTGTCAATGGGGACAAAACTCAGTTGTGTTATGTCAATTATGAAACTTGAAATTGACTCCCTAAGCAAAATACAAACAATTACCTGGGCTTTGGAGGTATATACTGCATTTCCTTAGACACGTTAGAAAATTAGATATTTAGATTTCGCAATTGACTAATTTTACAGATTAATGTCATGATATCGTTTTGTTATTCTCTACCATGCGTACCAGTATATTAATTAACCTCACCATAACATTTCGATATCGTAGCATTATCCACAACCTGTTATTGAATGTCACCGTACCTCTCTCCCTCTTAATTCTATCAGCACGGTTGGTTTCTTAACTATTATAATGAAACAAGTCTTTAGTCGATATTCCACGCCCTTCTACAGCTGTCCTTCGACGCCAAGGAACGTCTCAAGAGTGTGGCAACCGTGAAGGAACTGATGGAGTTGCCGGGATTTCCTCAGCTACAGGAGGAGGAGGAGGAGGGAGGACAGTTGGCCTCCTATATCGACGGGTCCTTCCGCAAATCACGTAGGATGCATGAACAACGCAGAGGTATGTTGATGGACCTCTTTAGTATGATAACTGATCCCCCCCCCCAAAGTATGTTCACCAACCTCTTGAGAATGATAACCGACTCTCCTCGGAGTGTGTTAATCCGGTTGAGTATAATGACTAAATCCTTTCAGTACCATGATGGAAATATATCACCTGGAGATTAGACACCCTACATTATTTTTCTTGATTAAACAACCCGATACTACCTGAGGGTTAGGTTAGGTTAACTTAGATTGGATTAAGTTATGTTAGGTTAAATTAGATTAAATTAGGTTAGGTTTAGTTAGCGTTAGGGTGGTTAATTTTCAGGTGAAATAAGTTACAGGAGTCTAATTTTCTTGTGATTTACGTGTTGTGTATGTGTGTGTGTACAGTGACCAGGAAGAAAGAGCCGCACGTGGTGGGTACTGGCTGTAGGGTGGAGCACATTAGTGTAGAACTGAAGACCCAGCCAGGCTACCGGTTCGTCCCCGCTTGTGTGAAGTTGGGGAGATGCGGAGGCTGTTGCACTCCAACCAAGATCTGTACAGCTAACACCACCAGGCCGGTCGAACTCAAGGTGCGTTTATCTCCCTGTACTCAATTTGACTTCACCCTCCTGTACTCAATTTGACTTCACCCTCCTGTACTCAATTTGAATTCACCCTCCTGTACTCAATTTGAATTCACCCTCCTGTACTCAATTTGAATTCACCCTCCTGTACTCAATTTGAATTCACCCTCCTGAACTCAATTTGAATTCACCCTCCTGTACTCAATTTGACTTCATCCTCCTGTACTCTATTTGGCTTCACCCTCCAGTACTCAATTTGACTTCATCCTCCTGTACTCAATTTGACTTCATCCTCCTGTATTAAAATGTACTGGGTTATATATTTACAAATAGAACTTAATAATCACCCATTAAGGCTATCAATCACACGGCAGGTGATTCGCGTGTGGGAGAACCAAACCAGTGTAGATGACGTGAAGGTGGAGGAGGAGGACGTGGAGAGCTGTGAGTGTAAGTGTGTGGTGGTTGCCTCCGATTGTGATCACAGCGTCATGGAATACGATGAAAATCTCTGTCAGTGTGTGTGCAAGAGGTGAGACAACCCCCTTTTTGTATGCAAATTATAATACTGTTTACTGTTACATTTATGCTCTTTTTTGGATCACGTGAAGATTACATATCCCAGTTTATTTTACTTAATGATGAAATACCCTAATGCTGTACCTAAAGGGGTGGGGGGTTAGGTTATATTGGGTTAGGTTAGGTTAGGTTAGGGGGTTTAATCATTATAGTTGAAATAAGCTGAGATCTCTAATCTTAAGGTGGCCCAATCTTTTCTTGCTGTATGGAATAGAGTGAAGGGATAGCTACTGGTTCACCGAGTCACGTGTTTTAGCAGTTATTTGTAATGGATTACCTCACCTAACTTCGTCCCATTATCGGCAAGCTCAACTTACAGTGTGCATCAGTGGTTTTTCGAAAGTGTGGGGTGACGACAGGCGCGAAATTGATTTACCTTGACCTTAACAAAATCTTTGATAGGATACCTCACGAAAGATTATTAAGAAAAGTAGAGACATGTGGCATTCGAGGGAAAATTTTAAATTGGATTAGGATATGGTTAACTGACAGGAAACGGAGGGACGTCAGCATTAATGGTACAAAATCCGAGTGTCGTAGCGTCACAAGTGGCGTAACTCACGGCTCAGTACTTGAAACTATTACTATTAATTAATTTGTACCCGACGATGCAGATATCGCTCCCGTTATTTGCACCCTAAACCTAACGTAAACCCAACTCAACCCAAGTCAAGCTAATCGAACCCGACTCAACCCAAGTCAAGCTAATCGAACCCGACTCAACCCAAGTCAAGCTAATCGAACCCTACTCAACCCAAGTCAAGCTAATCGAACCCGACTCAACCCAAGTCAAGCTAATCAAACCCGACTCAACCCAAGTCAAGCTAATCGAACCCGTCAAGCTAATCGAACCCGACTCAACCCAAGTCAAGCTAATCGAACCCGACTCAACCCAAGTCAAGCTAATCGAACCCGACTCAACCCAAGTCAAGCTAATCGAACCCGACTCAACCCAAGTCAAGCTAATCGAACCCGACTCAACCCATCCATACGCGTTATTTACACACAAACCCCAACATGACTTAACCAAACCAATCGCGCGTTATTTACACCCGAAATCTAACCTAACCTACTGTTGAGAGTAGACTAAACAGGAAGCTGAGTATTTACCCAAGAATGTCATAAAGTTCGACTACCAAATACTCACAAACATTAAATACTCACAGTGATTGTTGGTAAATAACGCCCGCGTATCTACATTAAAGTGGTGTGAAAATATCCCCTTTATATCTACATTAGCGACACAGATATAAGCGTAGAGATCAACATAATTAAATTTAATGATAACTCGTAAAAATTACAGGACAATCTGAACGAACCTTTACCTTGGACCGAAAAATGACAGATGCAATTTAATGAGGAAGAATGTAAAGTTCTAAGGCCAGGAAATGGAAACAGGTTACCAGCTATCTTGCTTTATTAAAATATTCCTGGGTTATGCGGTTCAGTTTTCATCACGTAATAAAGAATGGAACTAATTATCTAGAAAGCATTTTGATAAAGGATGGCAAGTTAATCCCGGGCATTAGGAACCTTGAATAAGAGTCATATTAAGAAAATTTAATTTACATTCTCTTGAGAGACGTAGGAGTGAGGGGTGACATGATCGAAGTGTATAAATGGAAGTGGGGTCAAGTGAGTGTGATATAACCAAATTAAGAGCGAACACATGGTGGAAATTTTGAATTAGAGAAATACCTATTTAAGAAGGAATTAAATAGACGTTGGTTAAGATACTAGGTCGTGGATGAGTGGAATAAATCGCTCGTCAGTACCATCAGTTTGAACTTGTTAGTTAGTTTTAAACACAAGTTAGGCAGACATACGAGTGCTGGGTGTAAGAAGGCCTACGGCAGTTTCCTTAATTCTTCCGTTAAATGACTACTTAAAGGGGGACAGGAACGTTACTGGACTCAAATAAGTATAACGTTTAGAAAAGCCATAACCTGTGTTTGTCTCGCATCATCATGTTGTTTATCTCGTTACCGCAGAAGCCTCGAGGATGAACGGAAGCGCTGCGAGGCATCACACCATCACCTCTGGCATCCTGTTCTATGCCGCTGCCTCTGTGTAGGTCGGCACCCGGACTTTAATGAGTGTTCCACCGGGTATGAATTCTCTCATGCCAACTGCAGGTTAGTTGATACCACACTGACCAGAACACACAGGTGGGACAGTTAATTAATACCACACTGTCCGGCTACAAGATCATGATGCATTTACACTACAGAGAACAAATTACTTTGTCTGACCTTTTCTCTGTAATTTTGTTTTGTAATATTGTAATTCTTCTTGTTTCTCTTGGTTAATTTGGCAATACAGTATATTAGACTCTGGGGTCACCAAAGTAGAATAAATCTCTTCTCCACATAATGATCCAGTCGACTACAATTCCCCCTAAAACATATAGAGATATCCAACTCCTAAGCTTTCGTGTTTATCATATCATTATCATTTCAAATGTTCGTCACAGAGACTATGATGATGAAGAGCTTCTTAATGGGATAATGACACACACAAAAAGCTTGGGACTTAAGTGTTGCAAAACCTTACTTTTCACTTTTATTCACCTGACCTCATATGACGTTTCTCCTCACCTCCATTACAGTTGTGTGGAAAGCCCCTAGGATTGGCATTACACAACCTACGACGCGCCAGCTGTGATGGGTATAAACCTGACCTTCTCTCCAACTTTTCATCCACGTGAACTTTACCAACCAACTCAAACATAAGAGCATAAGAATGGAGGAAACTGCAACGGGCCTATTGGCCCATACTGGGCAGTCCCGTTTACACCCAACCCCTATTGCTCATATAAGCATCCAACCTATGTTTGAAGCTATTCAGCGTATTCGAGTTAATGATGATATTTGGTAACTTGTTCCATTCATCCACTTCTCTGTTTCCAAACCAGTGTCCTCGTATTATTCTGTATTATTGAGATGTATCACTTAAGAATTGATGGGTGACAACAACCTTTTTTTTTAATAGAGGTTAATGTAAAGGTGACGTTGGTAGTGTGTCTGTGGGATCCAAAATTACAAAGTGCCATGTCAAATGTGAAGTATGAAGATGACCCCTACAGTATATGAATAAATTCCTCCTTGGGTTGGAAGTTTTGGGGAGATACAGTATATACACTCCCAACCCAGGTGAATATAAGTAGCTTATTTATTTAGGGAACACTTGTTTGTTAAAAGTTAGCGAAACAGCGATGTTGTGAACCTAAAAACTTCCTACTCCCCCTCCCCTCCCCCCCTGTACAAAAAAATAATTATTAGGAGAGCATTGCCGTGTTCTAAACTCACAACACAAAAACTTAATTGAAATCACGTTCTTAACCCCTTGTAAACTGGGTCATCTCTGTGCTGAGAGCTGAATAGAATCATGCAACAACATATACGCATACTGTACTTGACTCCCCCGGTTGTATTTGTCACTTTAATTTTGTATCTACAGTAAATAATACTTGTGAGACAACACAATATATCTACACATACTTTACAATGTATCTCAGTTGTATCATTTACTTTGAATTTTTTATCTAACAATGTATATTGTCCAGCTTACGATTATACTTCAATAGTTATCACAGTACTTTACATACAGCTATTTTCATTCTATACCTAACAGCTGACTGTCTCAAGGTGTTAATAATGTGTACGTGTGTGTATGCCTATGTGTCTGCCTGTCTGTGTGTATGTGTTTATATTAGTGCGTTCGCTGGGAAGACAAGAGAACCAATGCCAGAATTTTCGCTGACACCAACTGTAGGAGCATCGAGGCTACCATTATCCATGAACAACTACGCTGGACTGGCCATGTTACCCGTATGGACGACAGTAGAATGCCAAAGCAGCTATTTACAGTCACCTAACGAATAGTAAACGTAACGCTGGCGGGCAACTGAAAAGGTATAAGGGAGACGATTACTCCACACCGTAACGCTTGGAGGATCACCACACAAGAAAGTGTCAATACTTTCGAGTTAACCCGACTGCATACCGAGGCAGTCAAGCGCCAACGCCGGAAAGACGCTGCCTTTGCCCCTCCCGCACTAGATGTAGCCCTCCACATGTGCAACACCTGTGAACGACCCTGTCGGTCCCGTATAGGCCTCTTTAGTCACCTCAGAACTGACCAACGTAGGTGACATCCTTAATAACTCAAATCATTGTGTCATAGCTGGATGATCGTCACGCTCGATTCCGAGTGACAGCAAAGTAGAACTGTAGTAGTAATATGTATGTGTGTGCGTGTGTGTGTGTGTGTGTGTGTGCGTGTGTGTGTGTGTGTGTGTGTGTGCGCGCGTCACTATACACACCAGCATCGGATACCTACTAGTATGTTATCGATCGACAATTTCTTAGAGCGATTTTTGTTGACAATATTCGGGTAAGGTTTCTCTATCTCCTGGACTTGAGCCATAATGAGAGAGAAAGATAGAGAAGGGGGGATAGAAAAGGAGAAAGAGATAAAGAGAAAATAAAAAGATTGAAAGAGAGACACAAAAAGAGCAACAAGAGAAGCAACTATTAAAAAAACCCGTAATATCTCAATTAAATGTCACCTTTATATCAACAGAATAATGAGGTGACAGATAATGAGAGTTGGGAACACCTATCAAAAGTTATCTGTACCCTGATAAATATTTAATGATGTGCGCAAATTTGATAGATTGTGAGGTAGAGATTGTGATTAATAACACCTTTTTTAATAATTAGATTTTATTCGTGGATTAGGTGTACATTACTTTTTTTTTAATAGTTGCTTCTCTTGTACTCCGCTACTTGTACTCTGTACTCAGTACAGTAAAAACTAACTTGGATCATTCATGGTGGGTAGGAGGTAAATTAGTGATATCCCAAAGTTTCATTTTGCATTACATTAACATCACAGTACCTTGGGTTATGTGTAATTTGGTCTTATTTTGCCAATTGATCGCAGCAATATAATTTTCCATCGATTAATCCTATTTGTAGTACCACACGTGTCTAATAACAGTTAAAGTAAGAGAAGAGTTGACTCCGGTTCTTTTGGGGGGATGAGATACCTGAAATATTATTATACATCGAGTACAAGTTAAGAATTCTTAACTTTTCAAAGCTAAAAAAAATTAATACAACTCATATTTTAGTGAACACTTACCAGAGCACCCGGAACAGGATCGACCAGAAGCGGACCAGCTCAACTCTTCAACTTGACTCTCGACACAACCTAGAATTAAGAGTTGATTTTAAGGATCTCCTGAAGACTACCCCCACCCCCAGCCACAGATTTTTCTCCATAAGATCACCGTAACCTTACCTACCTAATATAATGTAATCTAACACAGCATAACCAAACCCAATATGACCTAACATAATCTATTCTAATCAAACTTAAACTAACCCTACAAGTAACATGGGTTAGGGTGGTAGGGATGGGTAATCTTCAGGTGATGCGATTTTAATTGGTAAACCGAGGGTCCAGATACAGAACAGTTCGTATGATGATTATTCCTTACAGGTAAAGGTCTAAGCATGTTTCTAACTGCTTGACTGAAGCTAAAACACAACAACAGCACTGAAAACATTATCCAAATCACCTCCAGTTAAGAGATCAAGTTAAAATTAAGTAGAGACTCATGTATATCTTGTTCGTTGTTTTTGTACCTTTACTTAGATCAATAACTACATGAGTTATGAGCATCAATGCCAATCTCTGTTAATCTGTGAGTCTGGCTATAAACCTCACAATTTACATAGGGGGAGAAGTCCTGACTGGGTTGAATAGCTGACAAGTGGCGAAGAGGATAAATAGTGTCAAAGAAATTAAATCCTTTTGTTTTGTCAACTGATCCAGTTATAAACACATCAACATGGATCCAAACCCTTAAACAAAACTGTAATGTGTGAAATAAAACAAACTTAATTAATAAATACTTCAATGTAACTTTTAGTTTATATTTCTTTTTATAACTTTGTTTTGATCGAGCTTCGAGGAATCATTGTAGTTTTCATGAGTCACCCTCCTCGCCTACACCACGATAACAGTAACTTAGCTTACATATCTTTTGTTTATATTAACGTTCTCTCTATAGTGATCGCACGGGAATGACTCGGAAGAGTGAAACCTAAAACTGAAAAGAATTACCTGCTGAGGATTTAGAATTGCTTTTAAAACCCTTTTATACAGGCTGTCAGGAGCCTTTTAACGTTAACATAAACACGTACCGTTAAGTAAACAGATATATTTATTACGATTTAGTGAACTTCATGTTAGGTTAAAAAAAATTAGAAAAGCTGAATGTCATTTGACGATTATTTTTCCTCAAACACCCACATGACTCGAGGGTTTTCCTATCTTTTTCAAAGAAGAGACACACTCGCCTGGATGAGTCAACATTCTGTTTTCTATGCCTTTCCGGATGTCAATTGATTACTGTAAGTGAAAGGATTTGGTTAATTCCACATCCCTGAAGGATATGCTTGAATGCATGGTATTACGTAGTGCCTGGCTTACATACAATAGTGCCGTCTTGTTTACTAACTCCTCCAAGATATCGTCCCCCAGAAAGGCACACAAAGCCAAAGACTCAAATTAAACATCAGTCTAGTTCTTTACTAATATAATCTGAGGGTTAGACACCCTAGTTTAAGTCACCTGGGGGTTAGACATCCTAGTTTATTTCACACAAACTTAAACAAAAACGATTCGAATCAATTCACATCATCAACATATCTAACATAAACTACTGAATGGTACATAAACAGCCAAATGCTTTTCACTCATAAAGCATAATCGTTCACCAGTGAGAGTGTAGGTGTTTGATGAGGGAGAGGAGAGTGTAGGTGTTTGGTGAGGGAGAGGGGAGTGTAGGTGTTTGGTGAGGGAGAGGAGAGTGTAGGTGTTTGGTGAGGGAGAGGAGAGTGTAGGTGTTTGGTGAGGGAGAGGAGAGTGTAGGTGTTTGATGAGGGAGAGGAGAGTGTAGGTGTTTGGTGAGGGAGAGGGAGAGTGTAGGTGTTTGGTGAGGGAGAGGAGAGTGTAGGTGTTTGGTGAGGGAGAGGAGAGTGTAGGTGTTTGGTGAGGGAGAGGAGAGTGTAGGTGTTTGATGAGGGAGAGGAGAGTGTAGGTGTTTGATGAGGGAGAGGAGAGTGTAGGTGTTTGGTGAGGGAGAGGAGAGTGTAGGTGTTTGATGAGGGAGAGGAGAGTGTAGGTGTTTGGTGAGGGAGAGGAGAGTGTAGGTGTTTGGTGAGGGAGAGGAGGGTGTAGGTGTTTGGTGAGGGAGAGGAGAGTGTAGGTGTTTGGTGAGGGGAGTGTAGGTGTTTGTTGAGGGAGAGGAGAGTGTAGGTGCCTGATGAGGGAGAGGAGAGTGTAGGTGCCTGATGAGGGAGGTTGGTGGTGGTGCAACAAGCGCTACGGGCAGTTTCGTGACCTCGTGAGATGGAAACGAGGAGAGTGTGTGACCCTCACCCAGTGCACGCAATTATACTTCTCCGCTCACACGCAAACATCCATACGCACACACACACCTGTCCGCTCACACACAAACACAGTTCTCTGCGGACACACACACACACACACACACACACACACACGGTCACCGTATATTAATAGAGTAAACGGAATGCGGAGGTGACCTTCCTGTGACGTCACGGCTTACGTCAGTGTCTTGTGTCTCGCGGAAATTACAAGATATGTTCTCGGGGGCCAAGTTAAAATTAGATAATGGTTTCTGGTTATGGTTAAATTACACCTTTCCTTTTCGTATCTTATTCTTCCTCTTTTTTATATATCAAACCTCAAAGAAAAAAAGCTTAAATTATTGTCAATGTCATTATAGATTTTGTTTTTACTTTATTTTTCTAAACAATGAATTATCAAGCGTCCAGGGAATCTATATTTAGAAGGTATATAAGAATAATATATAGGCCTACATACATTCATTAACACAATAGTAATTTAGATTGTACTTTTAGTGAGTCCTTACAATTACGAAAAGGCATTATTGAAATTTATGCTTGTACCCTTCCTCTGACATCTAGGCATATATTGACCTTGCCCTGACATGAAGTAATACCAGGTGCCACCCTCAAACAGTAACATGTCTCACCCTTCACCCTTCTACAGAGCCACTCCTTATAACTCCGGAATTAAATACAATGTTCCTCCCCTTCTACAAAATTACAAACACGTAACCACTGGCTACATCCGCTACAGAACGAAAAACCTCCACCAAGTTCTAAAAAATGCAACCACTCCCACGTCAACACATCATTCCCCGCCGCTATTTTTTTGTTTTTTTACACAGACCTCAAGACTTACTTTCCATACATTTCCCAAAGCTAAAAGATATTAAATTTCCTTATAAAGCTACCAGAGGACATACCGTACGCCTCAAAGCTAACTTGAATTTTCACAAAGCTAAGATAAGGATTTTTCGAGCTAACTGCAGTAGCACATGGTCTTTTATTTTCTTCTTTTTAGGGGGGGGGGGCACTGAAGTTCTTTCCGATCCATATTCCTTCCCCCTTTTCTCACCCCCTTCCTTCCCCCTTTTCTCACCCCCTTCCTTCCCCCTTTTCTCACCCCCTCCTTCTCCACTTCTAAGACACCCCCA